TTTACGAGATTTTTGTAATTTCTTTTGATTTGTACTTTATTTTAATTTACTCTCATAATAAAGATATTGCGAAACTATCGCACTTAAAAAAAAAAAATGTATATATAAAAATTTAATGTGCACATGTGCACATTGTGCACATGAATTTTACATACTGCCTTTAAGTAATATTGTCATGGGACATTAATGAGACATTGATGGGATATAAATAAGACAGATAGAACATTTAGAATATAGTGTGAGACAGGTTGGGACATATAACTGAGATATATAGCTAGGATAATAAATCTCTGAGATATCAAAAATGGATATCACTACCTTCAAGTAATTCTGGTTCATCTATATTCAAATTACATCTTTTTCTTACAAAATCAATTCCACTAAGTATAAAAAAAAAATTAAATCTATATTAATTTCATTTTACCTAATGATTAAAATAGGAGTATGCTTTTACTTGCATCATTATATGTGAAAGGATTAACATTATCACTTGAAAAAATAGTAACAGCTGCTTTTTCTTTTATCTAGAGTTCTTGAAGAATTATAGGTATTATTATCTACAAAATCCTTCTTAAGATCTAACCATCTGCCTGCAATTTTACGAAGTTTATTTTCCTTCTCTTTTATGATGGTATTGAAACGTTTTCTTTTATTAAAAGATTATATCTCTAAAAATAATATAGGATAGTTTAATAAAGTTATAATGATTACTAATACATTTTACTGTTTGAGTATCTTGTACTCACAAGGTTACACTCCTTAACAACTTCCTGCCAATATCCTTTTAAGTAGTCATATTTCTTTTGTACCTGTTAAGAGAGAGAAGATTAATTGTTATTGAGTAGAATTTATTTAGAATAAAGAAGCACCATAGCAAATTTCCTCTATCAAGAATCAGCAGAATTTATTATTAAACAAAACACTCATATAAAAAAAACTAGGGTTGGTTATCAGCAATTGCTATACAGTAATTCTTCTAAAAAATCAATGATCTAATAGGAGTTACCCTTTCTTTGCAAAATAAAAATAATCCACCTTATAAAATAAAGTATCATAATTATTTTTATCTAATAACAAGTCTATTTTCAGTAAAATTATCTTTAAAAGGAGTCAATATAATACTTATAGTTATATCTTTTGTGATATTTATATAATACACCTTCTAATTTACATACTATTATCAGTCTAACTCGAATACAATTATGTAATAATTATATTAATAAATATTAAGTATAAGATTCGTTTTAATTGAATTAAATATAACTTACTTTACATTTGATTATAATAGTATATCCCATAAAACCACCAAATAAATCTATTCTACTGTCACCTGATTGTTGTCTAAAAAAAAAATATAAAAAAACACAAAAAGTTTGAGTATTCATTATTGTCAAGAATCTTTATTCTAATACATATGTCAGTTGATAATAATTCACATATCCTATTTATCACAGGCTCTGATACATATGTCTGTTAGTCTTTTGGTTAGTGTGAGAGAAGAATGTTTACAGCAAACCATCCACCATATATCAGGTCTAGTTATCTAACTAGTAACTTTTCGCAAGCTATAGCTTTCAATTTTCCATTTACTAAATTCCTAGTGATAGCATAACTTCAGATACATAACAAGTCAACAAATAATTCAATAAAAAACTTACCTCATCCTACACAATTCGATGTCTCTTTCTTTAAAAATTCTTGATATTTCTTTTCAAATTTATTTTCTCTATCATAAGAATTCATTTTATTATTATATTTATTTATTATTATTGAAAATTTATTAAAAACTTTTTCTTATCTTATTATCTTTATTATATATGGTCATGAATAATAAGAATAGATACCTCTTTTAGTAAAAAAAACGTTACTTTTAAAAGGCAGTTGAACTAGTAATGATCAGTTCTACCAATAAGTATTTTTGAGGATGACTTCTCAGTGACAGAAAAAAAAACCTCTGATCATGAGTTTTAGTTATGATATACGTCATTTATACTTAGGTTAAAATAATCAGAAAAATTTTTGATGCTTCAGTAAAGTATTCATAGTAATGCAAAAAATGTAAATTATAAAAAATTAATATTAAATCTTCAGAAATAAATGCAATTTGTTCATAGTATTTGGAAGTGTTAAGTGATTAATGATTTTAGTTATAATTAAATTAATATATACAAATTCATATTATACTCAAACAATATACTGTAAACAGGTAAATGTGACGCAGCTTATATAGTGCAAAAGATCAACTAAATTGACATAAGTGATATATGTGATATGTCAGACATATGTGGCATAACTGACATATTCAACATAGTTGACATATTAGATATAGTTGATATATTAGATATAGTTAACATAATAGACATGTTAGTTATATCTTTATATGTAAATTATTTTATATAAATAGATAACTTTTTTAGTTCATATACAAAGAGAGATAAATAGGAACTTGATAAGATAGTTTTAGTAGTTTTAGAGGCAACTGGCCTACTGTGTTACCTTTTAGCTTTAGTATTTTGATTCTTTTTTTTTCTTTTCTTATTTCCTTTTATTTTTCTTTACTTTTCTTTATTTCTTTTCTCTATATTATTATTTTACTTGTGAATAAACACATTATTTATAAATATAATTTACTGGTAATCTATTGAATTATAACTCACTATAATCATATAAATACTTTTGATAAATCATCTGAATTAAAGCTACAAACCGTTAAAAGATTACTACTCAATTAAAAAGAATAAACTGCTCAAACATCTTGTTTAACAGTTGTAGTTTGTAGAATTATACGTTAATAATACATTAATAACGTAAAAATCTATTGATTTAAAAATAATTTGATAATTATATATTTAACTGTATTTTTCTTTAATAGCATGAAATACCTTTAAGTCATATACTGAATAAGGCTTATATGCTTATAGTATCATTAGCAGATGGATTGTAATATATTATTAATAATTTATACTAAACTTTACTAAATATGATTACCAATTCCTACATATGTATGCATATGACTCTATCAAGCAACGCACAAAAGAATATTCCCTATGCTCTATTTGCATTTCTGTCTATAATCATATTATATCCTTTGCACTTTTCTTCCTTCAATATTCTGTATGTTTTTACATGCAGAACATGTTTTTGAAGTATAGGCTTCATTTTTTATAATCATTTTCATACTAGTCTCATTGGCTTTGTATTTCAACTGTTATTAGAATGAGTAATGTAACTATGTTAATATACTTCACACAGTTTTTGAATTGATTTTTTTCTTTTCTCATCTCACTATATTTGAAACATTGAATTCAAGTATAATAACAACATCATAATTTTTTGCAAGATAATTTACAGTTTTCTTGTGTAATTCATTTCTCAGATTCTGGACTCTTCTAAAAATTTTTGAGATTGCTTTATTAATTCTCTCAGCTTTCTTTTTCTTTCTTTTGGAACTTGAGTTCTTAAGCTTGTCCTTTACTGAACTTAGTTTGTCTGCATGCAAATAAAGTCTCACCAATTTTTGCAAATCATTCTTACCAACCTTTATAATTCTTTTTGTAGGTGAATATATTATAAATAGAGTTCAAATTTCTAGATCGATATTCACAAACCTCTCATGTATTTTTTTTAAATTTTTTTGTCTTTTATATACCCACAATAAGATTTATTCATTAGTTTTCTAAAATATATGAGCTTGCAATCATGATTGATCTGTTCTAATAGCCAACTGTTATTTTTTCTCTTGATCTTAAAATGCAAACTCTTAGATTTCTTGATCCTTTCAAGTGATCATATAGTTTTTTTCTTAGTATTCTCATATAATCAGTATTTTTGAAAAGGTATGATATGTAAAATTTATTTCAATAGTTTTTTGAGAAATTTTGTACATGTATGATGATAATATATTTTAGATCTTTCCTAATCTTAAACTTCAATCTGATTTTGTTATCTTTTGAATTGAAATTTTTATCAGTTTCATTTACAGTTTCATCAATTAAGTTATTTAGTATATTATTATAGGCTTTCTTACTCTTTAATTTTAAATATGTAATTCTTCTCAGAAATTTTATATTTAAAAAATTTATCATATTTTTACATTTATTCCTATTTTTATCTACATACACAATCAAAAACTGTCTTTTCTGCAGATAGTCAATGACTGTATTATAGGTCAATCTTGATAGCTAGTATTCTGCATAGATTCAGATCGAATCTGTCAGATTTAAATCTAATTTGGATTCAGATTTGGATCGAATCTGATCTGTCAGATTCAGATTCAAATTCAGATCTAATCTGTCAGATTTGGATTCAGATTCAGATCTGATCCATCAGATTCAGATTAGATTCAGATCTGATCCGTCAGATCTGAATTCAACTTTTTTAAAGCTGTAAAGTTTCTTTTCAATAAAAAGAAACAAATTTTTGGATCTCTTTTAGAACTAAAAAATTCCTTTCATTGAAAAGGAATGAATTTTCAGAACTCTTTTAGAGCTGAAAAGTTCCTTTTATTGAAAAAAAACAAATTTTCAGAACTCTTTTAGAATCGAAAGGTTTCTTTCAATAAAAAGAAACAAATTTTCAGAACTCTTTTAGAGCTAAAAAGTTCCTTTCATTGAAAAGGAACGAATTTTCAGAACTCTTTTAGAGCCAAAAAGTTTCTTTCATTAAAAAGGAATGACTTTTCAGAACTCTTTAAAACCGAAAAGGTTTCTTTTAATAAAAAGGAATGACTTTTCAGAACTCTTTTAGAGCTGAAAAGTTCCTTTCAATAAAAAGGAACGAATTTTCGAACTTTTTTTGAACCAAAAATTTGTTTCCTTTCATTGAAAAGAAATGAATTTTCAGAATTCTTTTAGAACTAAAAAGTTCTTTTCATTAAAAAGGAACAAATTTTCAAAACTCTTTTAGAGTCGAAAAGGTTATTTTCAATAAAAAGGAATAACTTTTCAGAATTTTTTTAGAGCTGAAAAATTCCTTTCATTGAAAAGAAATGACTTTCAGAACTCTTTAGAGCCAAAAAGGTTCCTTTCAATAAAAAGAAACGACTTTTTGGAACTCTTTAGAGCTAAAAAGGTTCCTTTCAATGAAAAAGAATGACTTTTCAAAACTCTTTTAGAGCCTAAAAGGTTCCTTTTAATGAAAAGGAACGACTTTTTAGAACTCTTTTAGAGCTGAAAAGGTTCCTTTCAATGAAAAAAAATGACTTTCAAAACTTTTTTAGAGCTGAAAAGGGTCCTTTCAATGAAAAGGAATGACTTTTCAGAACTCTTTTAGAGCCAAAATGGTTCTTTTCAATAAAAAGGAATGACTTTTTAGAACTCTTTTAGAGTCGAAAAGGTTTCTTTCATTAAAAAAAAACATTTTCAGATCTCTTTTAGAACCAAAAATTCATTTTTTCAATAATACTTTTGGATTCAGATCAGATAAGATTTAGACTTAAACTGATCTATCAGATCTGGATTTGAAATTGATCTGTCAAATTCAGATCAAATCTGGATTTTAACAGATCCGTTAGATTCAGATCAGATTCAGATCCTGAAAAATAAAAATCAGATCAGATCAAATTTAGATAAAATCTGATCAGATCTAATTTTGCGAAATACTATTAACAGCCCTATCTATCACTTTATTATACGTATTTGTACATTCACATTTTTGTCCTTTTTTTTCTTTTATTTTTTCTCACTGTTAATATATTTTTTTCTTTTTCTTCTGTATTTAGCTACTCTTCTTTTTTGCAATTTGCAGATAAAGACATTGATAGCATAAATATCTTCAGATAGCTCATGTCTATCAGTTTTTAAATTATCGAAGAGAATTACGAGTTTGTAAAGTTGAATGAGAATTCATACTTAAGAAATTTATAGGTGAATTTGTATAATCAATTATAATAGGTATCCACAATTTTCTGACAAAACCTTTGCATGATTGTTTTAGTAGAGTTTACAATTTTTGTATTTGAAGTTAATTCTTGATCTGATATTACTAAAGAGTTCATAGATTGGGAATCAGGAGCTGAGAAGTTACTTTTGCTACTCAAGGTCCTCTTTTTGCTTAATACTAGAAACCTGAGTATAGAGAAATTCTTTTTTAGTGGTAATGGAGGTGGTGGAGGTAGTAGTAATGATGGTAGTGAAATTCACAATATTTGAGATATCATAAAGTTGCACACTATCTAGTTAATGAAATACTATTATTTTACTGTTGTAGTGTTAGTGATAAAGTATACACAAGAAAACACTAAGGATGGAAGAAGCCTGAGTAGCAGTAATGAATATTAAAAAAACTTTAATATTTTACGAAAGGTTAAGCTTTTTAAAAGTTTATTTGCGAATAGAATGCAATAACATTAAGAAATTTTTCAATTCTATTCGTAATCAGTAACACATAAGGGAATTAAAAAAAAGTTTTTTTACTACTAAACAAATTCTGTTCCAGAATATATAATAATAATAAAAAAAAAAAATTAAAACAGAGTTTTATAAAAGATGCCAAAACTTTTCGTGATGACAAAATAGTGTTTCTTTATCTTTATACTATTTTAAGCAGTTTAGTTTGATAATTTTCTATATGATTTTCATTGATAATAATATTATGATAAGCAATATTAAGCAATTATTAGCAACTGTATTAATAAGCAAAAATTTGCTATAGTATTGAAATTTATATTATCTGAACATTATCTATTTTATTTATTTATTAGAAATATAAGAATCTTGATATTTTAAATTATCTTAAAATAAAAA